TGAGACTGAAGCTATAGCAAGAGATTTCATGGCTGAGCCAGGCAGGAGTTCTGCCCTGCGGCTACCCCAGAGCTCAGTGGCCTCCACTCAGAGACAACAGGCAACACCCTCTCCAGGAAACACAGAAGATATCTCCCAGGGGCTTGGGAGGCTGAGGCAGGAGGATCTCGAGTTCAAAGCCAGCCTCAGTAATGGCGAGGTGCTAAGCAACTCTGAGACCCTGTCTCTAAAAAAAAATACAAAAATGAGGACTGGGGATGTGGCTCAGTGGTCAAGTGCCCCTGAGTTCAATTAAAAAAAAAAAAAAAAAAAACCCAAAAGCTGAAAAGGAGGAAATGATTCTTACAGATGTGATAGGTCAAGATTTCAGGGTTTTTTTTAATTGGTGCATAAAAATTTTATAGAATAGTGGCTTTGTGTCATATTTCTATGTGCATGTGACATAATTGGATCCATTTCTCTCCCAGTTCCTCCTTACTGTCTCCGCCTCCCTCTCCCTGCTACCCTTCCTCTACCAAGTAGTCTTCCTTCTACTTTCATGACATCTGTCTTTTTTTTTTTTTTTCTTTTTTCCCTTCTGGCTTTCACATACGAGAGAAAACATTGAATTTTTGTCTCTCTGAGTCTGGCTTATTTCACCTTAATGTGATATTCTCCGGTTCCATCCATTTTCCTAAAAATGCCATAATTTCATTCTTTACAGCTGAATAAAACTCCATTGTCTATATGTACCATCTTTTCTCTACCCGGTTACCTGTTAATGGGTACCGGACTGATTCCTTAACTTGGCAGTTATGAATTGTGCTGCAGTAAACCTGAGTATGCACAGATGTCTGAAGTATGCTAATTTTAATTCTGAACAAATACTGAGTCGTGGTATGTCACATGGTACTTCTATTTAGTTTTTGAAGATTTCAGTTTCTTAAAAGTCTATAGTCATGCCTGTTGCTATGAGGAAACAAGTGCAGCCCGAGAAGAAGGTAAGAGAGGTGTAGGTAGCCCTCTAGTCCTGGCCACCTGAGATGGGGCTGGCACCGGGAAGCAGCTCCTGATGGAACATGTGAGTGAGCAGCAGAGGCTCCTGTGATGTGCCCTGGCTCCTTCCTCAGTGGAATTCCAGAGGTCAGAGTGATGGAGGGACACAGTGGAGTCTACTTACTGCTTGTTAGCTCGAGTAGGGAGAGGTTGAAGCTGGTGGCTGAGCAGGAGAAGGCAGCAGGATGCTGGATGTAGCATAGCCAGCCCGCCCTAGTTGAGCCACTTTCCTCAGGCCCTAAATGCCACAACCTTGGTACAGGTGAAGACCCAAGTCTCCTCTAATCTTGACTCTTTACCTACACCTGAGTGGTACTTGTCTCGTTGTGCTTCAGGAAGTATTGGGATTATAGTAGTTTGTGGGCAGTGCAAGTTAGAGTTCTAGGATAGCAAGGGGGAGAGCAGTGAGGGAGATGCCCCTGTTCCATAAGAGGAGCCACAGCAAGGTCCCTGCCTTCAGTAGCCTTCGGTTCTTAAGAGTGAGTTAGACATTGAACAGGTTAATTTTTTTAAAAAGAAAACAAACAAGCTGATGAGAGATTATAGTCAGTGCTCTGAAGATGAAATGACTATATTCATATAATGATGATGTGTTGGGAAACAGGCAGCTAGAAGGCTGCCCGGTTTGGGTGGGTGGCCCAGGTTTCTGAGGTCATTGACATTTGAGCAGAGACCTAGGGAATGAGGAGCATCTGGCCAGGGGAGAACCCATGGGAGAACATCCAAAGAAGAGGGGCTGTTGTGGAGGGTAAAGCCAGGACTAGTGCAAAGGTTTGAGACTGGGGAGGGGAGGCCCACCTGATAACGTGGGGGCCCAAGCCCACTATGCCAGGATGGGGAACTAGGGCAGCAGTGATGAACAAACCAAGGGAGAAGCACCTCTGACTCGGCCAGGGTCAGAAGAGGGGAGCACTCAGCCAGCAGAGTTTCACCTGTTCTTGACCTAGGAATGTTGACTTGGGAGCTTTAGGAAGCCATATTCCTTAATCTTTATTTCTAGAAAAAGCTGGAATGTGCTTGTACTTGAAGAGGAGGATAGTGGGAAATGGCAGAGCTGTCAGCAGACAATAAGAATGTGATATACACATGCACAAGGCCCTCTTGGGTTCAATCCCCAACACCACCAAAAAAAAAAAAGAGTATGGTATAATTGCTGTATGCAGCGGGAGAAGGCCTAAAAGGCACCATGTGACACAGGGTGAAATCTCCATGCTGACCCACAAGGACTGTGATTCTCCTCCAGCAAGGGAGGCACCCTGCCACTTGACAGAAGTCGTAGACAGAGAGGTTGGTGGGGCTTTTCTGCATAGTTGAATCAAGATGCACAGGATTGCTAAAGAACTGGGAGTGTGGGTGAGTGGTGCCAGTGAGAAGAAGATGGGAAGCCGACAGACAGAGAAGTGGGCAAAGACTTAAGAAGACAGCTGTGAACACAAGAAGGCCTGAGAGAAGCCTGGAAGCAGGCGTGGCAGGTGCGAGGCAGGAGTGCTGAAGGGTCCAGAGTCAGAGAGGGTTTAACCCTTCAGATACTTTGATTATCTCAGAAATGCTGTTTTGTCTGGATCCTGGTTCAGGGATAAGTCTGCTTTCATTAAAAGGAAATGGTTGGCAGGCAGGATGAGCTCCAGAGAGTTCTGAACCTGTGGTGAGACATTGCCTTTTACTTACTGCCTCTGCCATTGCCAGCTTTTGATCTACGTGAAGCACACTTCTCTTGTCCTTTGAGCAGTCAGAATGGATGTATTAGTTGCTGTAGTTCTGTGAACAGGCTTCTGTTGGGTGCCTGTGGTCACTCTTCAGTGTAACACCATAGCCATAATTGATGGACAGTTGAGTTGCAAGCTTTTAGGACTAATTGCAAACCAAACTAAAACATTTTCTGGAACCAAGTTTAAATAATAATGATAATACCTTGTATAGATATAGTGCTTTACAATTTACAAAACACTTTCACATACATCAGCTTATTTAATCTTCACAATAAACAATGCTTTTTGAATGCTTAGATCTTTCCTAAGTGAGAAATCACTTTGCACATCCTGATTTAATTAGAGTGAGTCACCAGAAGTTGTTGGTACAATAACCATCTCTTAAGTATCTTCTATGTACAAAGTACTTCACTAAGGATACCAAGGGGTAAATTTTCAGCAAATAAATATCTAATAAAAAGTACCTGTCCAATAAATGTGATTTTGCCTCCTGATTCACTCACTCCTTATAGTCACTCCTTTGGAGGCTGCTTACCATGCCATAAATGCACGAAATTTTTGCCAGAAACTCCTTATATCATATTTGAAAGCTTTAAAACTAAGGATTCTGGTACTCATCTAAGCTCAGTGATTCTTCCAAAAGTCATTCTTTTTCAACTTTCGGTTTCTTGAAGATTATCCATTACTTAAATCTCTACAAAAACATTTGAAGCTCCCAGCATGTTTGAAGATGCTTGACCATTGAGTTCATTGTCTTGCTTGGAGTGATTAGGTTTGATTCAAGAGTACAACTTCGCCCTTGCCCCCAGCAAGCTTATTATCCACTAGAAAAGAAGAAAGACATGGTCATTGTGTTAGGTTTTCCTCACTGTGGCCAAAATACCCTACAGGAACAACTTAGAAGAGGAAGAGTTTATTTTGGCTCACAGTTTCAGAGGTTCAGTCCATGGTCATTTATCTCCATTACTCTGGGCCCAAGGTGAGATAGAAGATCATGGCAAAGAGTGTAGCAGGGGAAAGCTGCTCCCTGTGTGGCAACCAGGAAGCAGAGAGTGAATGGGAGGAGCCAGGAACAAAATACAAAATCTCCCAAGGCATGCTCCCAGTGACCCACTTCCTCCAGCCACACTCCACCTGCCTACAAATTGCTACCCAGTAATCCCTTCAGATTTTCAGTACATCAAATGGGTCAGTCTGTTGAGTAGGTTATGGCTATCATTTCAACTCCTGCTTTAGTGCAGGAACTTTTCAGGGATACATCATACTTAAAACAGTCATCTCTAGGTTCTATAAATCAGACTGGGATGCTGTAAGGGGCTTGGAAAACAGGACTTCCTGGGAGGCTGCCCTCTAGGTGAAGTGGATGGCACAAGATAGTATTAGTCAAGCCCACTCACAGGGCAGGACTCCTGAACCTGTGACCCAGGGCCTCCGGAGTGTCCAAGCGCTTGCTTTGGACTACCATGGCTCTTCAGAAAAGAAAGGCTTTGCACCTTATCTTACTCCAGATACTCCAAAAGTGCAGGATCCCCAAAATAATAGAGTCCCTGCCTTCAGAGCCCCTTGGACAGAGTGCCTTCCTCAGCACAAACAGTATGATCTACAAACTGATTCCTTCCTGCACCAAGAGCTGGGTGAAACTTGTGGGCTACTGTGGCATCTCAGCTGAGAAGCCTGTTGTGCTATTGACACCCAGGTGTCATAAGGGATGCTGAGGGTGAATCAGATCGCCTTGGCAACAACTGTTGTTTCTCCAATCCTCTTTCAACTCCTTGTTGGCTTCTTAATTTTATTAACTTCAACATTATAGTAGTTCTCACTCAGTAGTTTATGTGAGCGTGTAGTTTGGGATTTGGGGGAGGACAAACCCAAGTGTCCTTTTTGTTTTTTCTTTTTTTTTTTTTTTTAACTCATTTCCTGGACATACTGGTTTTTAGAAAGTTTTCTTATGGTAACATCTTGAATAACATTTTCTCTGTTTTGCAAGGGAGGCTAATGATCTGGAGCTTAAGCAATCAAAAGTCTTAAGAACTCTTCCTTCTTTGTGTTGGGCAGAAGTGCCTAATACTTTATTTTATTTGGGCAGAGAATATCCAGCCAGCATCTGAACATCCCATAAATACTTGGGAGAGGAACACAATTAGGATATAGTGTAGAGCTGGGAGTTGGAGCTTTAAGTCTAAGTGATGTTTCCAACTGGGGCTGGAAACGTGCTTTAAATAATTGTATTCTGATCATTTAGGTCTCTCTTTATAGGGCATCTTTTATGACCAAGACTGTCCAGTACCAAAATGAGCTACATAAATTCCTAATCTGGGATACAGCTGGACAAGAACGAGTAAGTCACTCTTTAATTTACTATGTGTTTTTCTGAGGCCCAAACCAAATTAGAGCACCAACTAAACTGTCACCGTTCCTGTCATTTCACGTTACTCACTTCTCTTCTATGCGCCAGAGACACATTTATTTCCATTTGTGGAGGCCAGCCTTTTTCTTTTCAATTAGAGTCACAAAGTCCTCTGATGGAGAAAGTGATAATGGGCACTGAGGGCATTTTTATATTTTTTAGTGTCTTAAAGTAAATGCTGACTAACAGGCTGATAAAATCCCACTTGAGCATTGTGTGTAATTTGGGGCTTCATCCTCTAGTAAAGATGTAAAAGAATTAGTGGTAGAAAGGGAGAGTTAAGCACAACTCATTTATAGCTGCCTTTTAAAAAGCTAAAGAGGGAACTTTACAGCATATAAAGTTTGAGATTTAAGTGAAATGGATGAGCTAACACAGTGCCTTGCAGTAGGTACTTAATAAATGCCTGGTAATAAAATTGGCCACAGTAGTTATCTGCCTAAGGAAGAGCCTAAACCAAACTGGGGCCAGCCACAGCAGCACAGGGCCAGGTTGGATTTGGGGAAGCCCACCAAGTCAGAAGAGGGTGGGAATGGGGCAGGCACAGGTACTATCTATCTCCCCTCCGGGCACTGACTTCAGTTTGTTGTCATGGTGCCTGTGTCTGCCCCATTATTCAGCAGACGTTTAATTTTGTTTTCAAACAGTACTATCAAACCTGCATCAGATGGATGCACAGTGCTATCTTAAGCTCTTAGAAGTACACCAGAAGTAATCAGGAAAAATAGTGTGTCATCACCGTCTTATCTAAGACAACGTAGATACTGTGTATGGCATAAAATCTGACAAGAATCATCGCAGACAAATGGAGGAAAACAAAACAAGCCATTACCGTTGTCCTAGATGTAGACACTATACATTTGTACAGATTTAATGTTTTAAGTTCACTTTGTTTGGTTTCTTCTGTTTTTAATGCTGGATGTCTTGCTACCATCCAGTTACTCATCTGAGATGTGTCTGCTTATGGTTTTCTTTTCCCCTCTCCTGTTATGCTGGTGTTGTGCATCTAGAATGAGACATTTAAAATAGCTAGACCTTTGCTAACCATCACTCTTCTGTCCTTCAGAAGCGGTTCTTACCACAGAGTCTGCCCGCATTTATCTGTACACACAGCCATGGGATTTGTCCTATCAGCCCCAAACTGGTGGGGCTCTTCCTACCAATAAAACACACTCCCTTCCGCTGGATCCCCAGGTTCAGCTACCCCTCACAGATACAGATGGTACAGCAAAGCCATCATCATAAAGAACCCTGCTATAGTACAGATCCCATTATGCTCTCTTCAGAGCCTGTCCTGGTATACACGATGAGTATAGCATCTCTTTTTTTCTGGAACATGAAAAAAGAAATAACCCAAGGGCACATGGCTCTCCCTTTCTGCTGGCATGATTGCAGGGGTCTTTGAAGTTTTGTAATTAGCCAGCTTGCCTGCCTTTTGTGTGCCTCCTTCTCATTAGTTCTTCAACAGGAATAGCTGCTCTCAAATGTGAACCTGCCTCCACTATGCAGAGCACCTCATGCAGCCCAGAGCTGGAGAGGAGGTGTTCATGAGGAAGCGGCCAAGAGAGGAGAACCCCCAGGGAGCACTGGCAAAAGCACATGTCCATAGTTGCCAGATTGCAGAGCTTAAGAAAAAGCTAAACATGGGACATATCATCAAAGTATAGGGAAGATCAGGCAGGACGTAGCCGTGAGCCTGGTCAGGGTCAAGGACTGACTGACTGTCCTGGGAAGGCCTTCTGGTCCCTGAATATACCAGCCACTGCCAGACTCTCTATCTCTTCCACCAACCTGGCCTCTAGCACTGAACTGCTTATAGTTTTCCAACATGCCATCCTGTTTATATCCTCTTACCCTTCTTCTTAGGTTTTGTCTGGAAAACTTTCTTCGGCCTTCAGAACCCACCTCTGATGTCACTTGACTAAAGGAGGCTTTCCTAAGCACCCCTGGTGGTCTCGAATGAATAACCACTTTGCCATATCCCATTGTTGCTCAAACCCAAATCTGGATGTTGTCTTGGACTCCTCGCCAGCTCCCCACACTGCTCTAGGAGCATGTGCTGATAGCTCCCTTGTCTAAATAACTTTCTTCATTTCTACTCCCATCACCCTGCTCTTAGACACCTTTTACTCTGACTTGAGTATTCCATAGTCTTCTAACTGGTCTCCCTGCTTTCCTCCAGCCCAGACCTGACCCATGCCACTTCTCACAGAACCTAGAGTCCTTTAGAAATGAAATCGGACTCTCATATTTTCCTGCTAATACCCTTCAGCAGCCGATTATTGCTCCTCTCCTCTGCCCACATGCCCTGCTCCTCCAATCTGCTTAGTGTCCTTCCAGCCCGTCCTCCTTCTCTCCCACTGAATTCCAGCCCACTGCCCTTCGTTAGGTCCTTGAGCACCCGTTGTCATCAGGCCTTCATGTACATTGGTCCTTCTTACTGGAATTCTCTCTCTCCTCTGCCAATAGGCTCCCTTTACGAGCTCTTGATCTCAGGTTAAATGTCATACCCTTAGAATTTTCCCTGAATCCACCCCTTCACCCCTTGCATCTAAGCACAGCTGCCATTCATTTCCCATTATTGCCAGTATTCATTTTCCTCAAGACATTTGTTAAAAGTTATAGTTCAATGTCTGTCTGTCTGTCTAGCTTTTATTGACAGTCTCTCCTTGCAAACAGTAAACACTGAGAGCTGAGAGCACAGTGTCTTGCTTGTCCTGTATTCCCAGCCTCCATCCAGGGTCTGATGTAGAGCTCATGTGCAGAGCCTGGTTGGACGGAGCAACAGATGAACTCTTACATCCTGAGCAGGCTTCAGTTGCCCTCATCCATGCCATCAGTACCTGTTCCTTACTGTCATGTCTTCCATTGGACAGTGAGCTCCTTGGGAGCAGGACAGTCCTCATGTCTCTGCTCTCAGCTCCTAGCACATGGTGTTGATGACAATAAATGTCAGCTGCTTGCTAACCCTCCTTAGGCACACACAGATAAGGACAGACCTTCTACTACTTTCACCATGTGAGTAGTGCATGCCTGGAATGATGCTTTTTCTGGTGTTTGCATGTGTATTGTTTGGTTCACTATAGTTTAAAGATTCTCAATGGAAACAAAAATGGTTATAAAATGAAAACTTTCTGATCAACTAACTAATTGTATAGCCTCCCCATTTGAGTCTAGCATCTATCCTGTTGCCACACATTTTGACAGTGTGCTGTCTTTCTGTTGGTCAGGTTATGGATGATTACAAAGTGATTAAACTGGTGAAAGTGATTTTGGAGAATTTTTCAAAATGTTATGTGAATCCTTGACCATTGGGATCTTGTTAAATGAAGAGAAAAATACCTGTCAGGTTGCTGGTACAGCACTTCAGATGACAGTGAGTTCAGAGGGACTTACAGAAAATTCTTGGAGGCTACAAATATCTTGTAAAACTTACTATTTTTATAAGACTGTGTGATCAAATATGAAATGAAGGATATCATATTGTGCTAGCATATAGTTTTATCAGAACAGTCATAACCAAATTATCAGTTAACTGTGATTCAGTGTTCATCAAAAAAATTCAGCTCCTGACTGTTAAAATATGGCTACAGCTCAGTGGCAGAGCACTTGCCTAGCATGTGTGAGGCTCTGGGCTCATTTGTCAGCACCACATTTAAGCAAATAAGTAAAGGTCCATCAATAACTAATAAAAATATTTTTAAAAATAAGGCAAATATTTTTCAACTACCAGGTAAAATGAGACTTGTTTTCCTAAATTTAAACTTACTTCCTCAAGATGACCTCTGTGAGTCCTTTTTGTCCCTGTTATTTGCAAACTGAGTGAATTCATTTTGTCACATTTTCCCACCAATTATCCTTCACTAACAAAGACTCCTGTAGTAGTGTGGAGACAAACACAGCACATGAGCACCATGAGTGCATCCCATTATTACACCATCAGTGTAGAAAAACACTTCAAATGCTTTCTATCTGCATGTGATGATGTAGAAGAAAGCTGTTTAGCAGAATCTAGCAGACCCTACATCCAGATCCTAAACATTTACATCCCTACTTGTTGTGGTTCTCCTGATGGCTTTTTCCACAGGTCAGAACACCAGGAAAGCTCACAGTTATTATCACCATAGTCTTGTAAGGAATTGTTCTTATGTTAAAAGTCAGGAACTTAATGACTTAGGGTCATCTAGAACCGGAGTAACAGACTATGGCCTATGGGCCAAATCCAACCTGTTGCCTGTTTTTGTAAGTAAACTTTTTATTGGAACATAACCATGCTGGTTTCCATGGCTGTTTTCATTCTACGGTAATAGAGATGAGTGGTTGTGACAAAACTCAAATGGTCCACAAAGCTGTAATATTCTTGGCCCTTGCCTTAAAAAGTTTGCTATCTCCTGATTTAGAGCCACATTTGGAGCACAGATGTGCTGATGTCTTTTGAGTTTCTTTATGTGCTTCCATCTTTTTTCTTTACACCAAAATGATATGGAAAGAGTTTCAACATGACAGAAGAGTACCCTATAATAGACTAACCTTCCCAGATACAGCAATTTATATACAAACTCTGGATAAAACTTTTAAAATGTATTGCAGAGCAACCAGATGCAGCCAGGGACTGAACAAAAGAGCTATGATGGGCATGGTCCACATTGTCACAGCTTTTCCTAGTTAACACTCCTCAGACCATATGGCAACTAGGACTCAAGCAGAAAGCCTGTCTTTTTAGCTTATGACACCTGTGAGTCGTGTTGAGGACTGCAAGAACAACTGGGAAAAGAGGATACAAATCCCACAAAAATGGTCCCAGCAAGGAGGGAAGCCCCAAAGTCTGTTTATAAGTTTTCCTCAAGTCTTTGGTTGACCATCCAAGTTGTGAATATACAGAGGAGACATTACCAAACCCAGAAGAGACCAACAGCTAGAAGAGTGACTAGAACAGAGCAGAGACTGCCATTACAGCAGAGCTGAAGTCTGGAGTTTGAACCCAGTCCTGCCATGTTAGAGGGGAGGGGTAAACACCTCAGGCATCCCATTGAAACTTCCGAAGGGCAGTGCCTCATCAGTGGAGAACAGGTCCTGCAACTAAGGGGGACCTTGATGGCCTTACACAAAGTTAAGGTGGCCTGTCTCACAGTGGCTAGCCGGTAATTTAACACTCTGCAAAGAAGAAAACAAAAACTAGTTTTCTTAAGTGTATCATCCATGCTGTCCAGTATACAGTCAGAATGATTATACATACAGAGAAGAAGGAGAAGAGGACACAGGGAGAACAACTCCCCACCCATTATTAGAATTTGCAGATACAGAATTTAAAGCACACATTTTAAGTATGTTCAAAGATTTAAAGAAAAGTAGTCTTAACTACTTAACTGCAGAAGAGAAATCTCACTCTTAATGAAAAAGAATCAAATGGGAATGCTAAAACTGAAAGCTACATTTCATTTTTATTTAAGGTGAAGAATTCACTGGATAAGTGATAGAACAAATTAATCAGAGGAACAGAGTAGAAAAAGGTGAACAATACTTATTGAGACAAATTCAAATAGCCTAACATGGGTATAATTGAGACCCAGAAGAAGCAAAGAAAGAGAGAGGTTCAGGGGAAAAAGAGACTCCAAAAAGAATGCCTAAAATATTCCCAGATCCAGTGAAACCCCATCTCACAAAACCAAGAAGTTCAGCAAACATGTAAGTACAACAAAAACCACATTTAGATACATACATCATGAATCAAACTGCTGAAACCAGAAATTGAATCTCAAAAGCAGCCACAGATGAAAGATACATTATATGTGAGGGAACAGTTTGAATGATGGCTGTCTTCTTACAGAAACAGTGATGACCAGAAGTCAGTGGGACAGTATCTCTACCATGCCAAAAATACCTGTCAAATATGAAGTCAAAATAGGATGCTATTAGAAAAGCAAAAACAATTCAGCAGCAGTTCACAGAAAGTTTTTCAGGCTAAAGTGAAATGACTTTGGTAAATAAATGGTAAATAAGATCCACAGGAAGAAATAACCAGCCTTGGGATATAGTAAATATGAGAATCTCTCATTGTTTCTTCTCAACTATAAAAGAAAACTGGCCATTTAATTTAAAAATTATGATATTGGATTGTGGAATTTATAGTGTAGATAGATTTTAAATATTTGACAACAGCACAAAGAATTTGGGATAAAAAGCATTCGATGCTTGGATGGTTCTTACATTTTATATGAAGTGATAACATTTTAAACTCTTAAGTACACTAGAAAAAAATGTATATTGTGGTTACAAGAACAGCCACTTAAAAAGTGATGTAAGATAATATCGCTGCATCCAATCCAAAGAGAAGAGTAAAGGAAGGACAAAGGAATTTAGAAAGAAATGGAACACACATAAAAAAAAGCAGTGGACCGAGACCCAAGCACATCAGTAGGTGCGTTGAACGTAAAGGACCATTGCACTTGGAAGGCAGAGGTGGGCAGATGTGCCGAAAGGCGGGACCGGACTGTGTGCTGGTTAAAGATTGTTCGTGAATACAAAGAAAGGTTGAAAACAAGAGAATGGAAATGATATTCTATGCAAATCATAGACAGAAGACAGCCACTGTGCTCAAGTTCATAGTAGGAAGTAGGCTCAGAGACAAAGATTATGTCAAGGTTAAACAGGGACATTAAATTTCACGTTTGCTATCCTGGTGGATGGCTTCTTTTTTTTTTTTAATATTTATTTTTTTAGTTCTCGGCGGACACAACATCTTTATTTTTTATTTTTATGTGGTGCTGAGGATCGAACCCAGCGCCCCGCACATGCCAGGCGAGCGTGCTACCGCTTGAGCCACATCCCCAGCCCCGTGGTGGATGGTTTCTATGGATGTGTACGTCCATCACTTATCAGTTGCACAGCTAAGGTCTTTGCTTTACTCATGTGAATTTTACCTTACAGTTTTGAACAAAGAAAAAGAAAGAACCCTGTAAAGGATGTTGCCACCATAAGCGTATCAGAAATGAAAACTAATACCATAACCCTTTCTTCCACCTGTGTGCTTGCTGTGTTTGCTGTGGAAGTCAGTCCGACATTCAAAATCTTTTTTACCTAATGTAGTTTCTTCCCCTCCCCCTCATGTGTGGTCCTAGGAATTGAACCCAGGAACACTCTACCATGAGCTACACCACAGCCCTTTTTGTTTTTCATTTTGAGTCAGGATCTCACTCAGTTGCCAAGACTGGCCTTGAACTTTGTGATCCTCCTGCCTCAGCCTCCCAAGTAGCTGGAATGACAGGTGTGGCCATTGCACTCAGATATAGTTCCTTTTCCTGCATTGTTTTCTTAACTTACAACTTTTATTTTTGTTTTCTTCTAAAACTTACCATTTTGTTGGAAGTAGGCTTTCACCCAGGCAGACCTTTTACTCACAGAGATTAGTGAACATTTCTGTCTGTGGACATACAGATCTGGCATTTAGTTTGACATCCCCACGTTACAGTTCTTCGTTTGCTCACCAGTTCTTGATTACCTCAGGTGCTAGGCCCTGAGATAAAAGGGAGTGCAAAACACTGATGCTATCTTCCCTCATGGAGCTTATAGTCATATTTTTCTCTTTCTTTTGTAAAACTCAAAGTAACATGAAAGTTTAAAAGCAAAAAGATTATGGGCTGGGTTTGTGGCTCAGCGGCAGAGGGCTTGCCTAGCACGTGCAAGGCGCTGGGTTCGATCCTCAGCACCACATGAAAATAAATAAATAAATAAAATAAAGGTGTTGTGTCCAACTACAACTAAGGGGAAAATTTTTTTTAAAAAAAAGCCAAAAATTAAACTAACTGATAAGAAGTTAGAGTCCAGACTGTCACTGTGGCCCAAGTAACTGAGGCAGGAGGATCGCACATTGGAGGCCAGCCTCAGCAACTTAGCAAGACCCTGTCTCAAAAAATAAAAAAAGGGTAAGGATATAGCTCAGTGGTTGAGCACCCTTGGTTCACAACCCAGGGTCACAAGAAAAGAAGTTGCAATGTGCACAGTTCTGTGTGTATGCTGCATATGCACCAGTGCTCCCCCATGAAGGCATTCCTGCCATATTTGGTATAAGCTGCCAGAAACAGCAGGATGCAGTACACAACATGACATCATACAGTTCAGCCTTCAAAGTTGAAGTGTGAAGGCAAAAGTCTAGTCTGTTAACTTTGGCCTCACATTCTGTGGATGATGCTTTTACGAGGACATTTGCACAGGAACCAGATTTTGACTGGGGAAAGTGCTTCATGTTTCCTGTTTGGCATTCATCAAAAAAAGGGCTCACTAAACCACCGTAGCTGTGGAAGTGGTTACTCCTCCTCATTTCTTCTCATCCTTATTGTGCTCAGTGGAGGGGAGGTGGAAATGAAATGAGACATGTACCCTGCATTTGGGAATCACCACATGGATTAAGATATCAAGAAAGCATGTTGCAGACTCATTCGAGTAGTGAATTTAAATGTGTAACCTTGTCTAGGACAATCAGCATCTGGATTACAGGGTGATCTCTGAGACACCCCAATGCAGCACTTCTCTGGAGAACTGTTCACAGCATTATTTTTATCTCCCTGATAGTTTGGAAAGCCAAAGTTTAAAGGACTATTGAACAAATGAATTTGGGAATTACAACATTGAGTTCAATTAAAAAGCCTTTTTAGCTGAATCAATTGTTTATAGCACCATATTTAATTCCTATAAAACTGTATTCTAAACTATCTTCTGAGAGACATTTCAGTGATAACATTAAAAGTTTTCGCCTTTGGTAATTACTGGTTCATTTGCTTTAAAACATGATGTCATCTTTGGCTTCAGAGAAAGATTACCTTTTGTACAGGGATAATGGACTTTGAAGTCTAATTTAAAAAAAAAAAATATTTAACCAGTTTTTCCAATGTTGTTGTTTATTTCCCTCTGCAGTTTCGTGCCTTAGCACCAATGTACTATCGAGGCTCAGCTGCAGCTATAATCGTTTACGATATCACAAAAGAAGTAAGACCATATTCAGTTTTCCTTAGAATATTTTGGAGATTCTTAGTTGCTTAGATCTCCAGTTTCTTCCTTTGTATTACAGGAGACATTTTCAACATTGAAGAACTGGGTAAAAGAGCTTCGACAGCATGGCCCACCTAATATTGTAGTTGCCATTGCAGGAAATAAGTGTGATCTTATCGATGTCAGGTAAGTTATTAGACAAAGAGATTGCACTGCTGATTACGTGTTCCTGTTCTTAATGAGCAATATCCAGTGTAAAAATCTTGGTGTGTGTGTTTTTTTTGTTTTTTTTTAATCTTTGACATTGAAAAATTCCTTTTTGTTATATGATCTGAGTCCTGAAATTTCAAACTAAAATTATAATTTCAGGCATTTGGAGCAAATCACATTATGTCTATAGACAGGTGTGTAATTTACTTGAACATTGGTCACATCACAGTTGGCAGCCTGGGGGGCTCTTGTGTTACAGAACTGAATAAGGAAAGCACATTTATTAGAATTTTCTCTCTACCGTTTCCATAATTCCCAAGGCAGGGGTTTTTTATTTTTATTTTGGGGGTAGGAGTAGAAAACCTTGCCCTAATCATTCCATTAGCTATGTTGTTAGTGGTACTGGGTTTTGTTTGTTTAAACACAGAAGTGATATAATTGGGAAGACTGAGTGTTGGGGTTCACAGAGCCATTCAGAACACCCTCTGTCATCAATAATCTGGTTAATTACTGGGTAGGTGGGGGTAACATAAGCTCTTAATGGGTAGAAGTTCTGATTTGCAATTGTTGCCTTACAGAGAAGTCATGGAGAGAGATGCTAAGGACTACGCTGACTCCATTCATGCGATTTTTGTAGAGACCAGCGCAAAAAATGCGATAAACATAAATGAGCTCTTTATAGAAATTAGTGAGTATCTCTGTTCTTATGGGTTTCCTCTGTGCAGAACAACTTCAGAAAGAATTATCTTCCTGGTTAGAATTCCCATCGTATTTTGAGTAGTCTAGTCTCTGGTGCTGTCGTCAGTGAAATGAGATTTGAGAGTACAAGAGGAACGGCCAGCTTTCCTCTCAAGGTGTGATTGCTGGAGAGCTGCTGCCTGATGACTGTGGCTCTTCTGGAAATAATGTTGCTACTGAATAAGTAATGCACAGGGCATGAGGTCACAGAAGCTATAGTCTCCCTCTTTCTCTATTTAAATGTATTTCAATTAGTCATCCAAGGTCATCAAAAATGAGCAAAATAAATAAAAGGAAATAAAATGCAGATATAATTACCCTGCAAGAAAATCCTCAAAAATTAGTAGTAAGCAGGGGAGAGGTATGGAGATCTTTTTCCTACCCTCCCCTTCCCCTTCCAGAGTGTTGCATGATGACACTAGATAGGAGAGAGGCTGCTGCATGCCTTTGGGATCCCCTACAGATTGTATCTATGTTTATTCATTTCATTCAAATTCATCAAAATATTTATTGGAAACTGTTCCAGGCTCTGGGGAGAGAGCCTGAAGAAGATAGACACAGCCCTTGCTCTCTCAGAGCGCACGTTCTGCCAAGGGAGACAGAAAGTGAACGCCAGATAAATAGGATCATTTCAGATCATAATAAGAGACATGAAGAAAATAATTTACAGGGGGAAGTGGCAAGGGGGTGGGAAAGACGGTGGAATGAGACGGGCATCATTACCCTAGGTACATATGTGATTGCACAAATGATGTGACTCTATTTCACGTACAACCAGAGAATTGAAAAATTCTGCTCCATTTATGTACAATGCATCGAAGAGCTTTCTACTGTCATGTATAACTGATTAGAACTAATTTTTGAAAAAAGAAAAAAGAAAATGATTTAGGATGAAGTGAAAAAGTACCTGCAGGTGATCAGGGAAGGCCTCTCTGAGGAGGTGATACCAGCTGAGGTCAAACAGAGCAGACCCTCTCAAGATTCGGGAGTTCACATTGACATGGCAGGCGCCAGGGAGGTGCAGGAGTCAGCCCTGCAAGGTCAATGCATTAAGGCCCACCCTCTGGTTAAGATCTGAGACAGCTAGAACTGGAAAGGTTCTTAGCTTCTGTGAAGAAGGGTTGTGAACTCCAGTGCCCACCAAGGCCAAGTGGAGAAGTCTCCCGGGAAGCCCTGGGGTTTGGCCCCAGCTCCAGCAACTGGAGTTAAGCTGGAGTATAAGCCTCTTGGTGCCCAGTTGCGGAGGTGGTTTTCAAGGTTTTTTATGGTTTACTTTTGTTTTGCTTTTATGTTGCTATCTGTAGTTTGCTCAGAGATCTGGATTTTTATGTAATGTGTCCCATTGTTTAGATCTGGCCGTTTACACTAAGCACAGTGTCATGCGCCTATAATCCCAGCAATTTGGGAGGCTGAAGCAGAAGGATGGCAAGTTCAAAGCCAGCCTGAATAACCTGGCAAGATCCTGTCTCAAAATTTTAAAAGGGCTGGAATGTAGTTCAGTGGGAAAATGCCCCTGGGATTAACCCCCAGTATAGCCAAAAAAAAGAAGAAGAAGGTTGTGAACTGTATCAACAGTGTGATTGGGAGTGTGGTTCAGGCAGAGCAATTGCTTGCCATGACTGAGGTCTTGGGTTCTATCATCAGCGTCACCAAAAAAAAAAACGATTCACAAAGATTAGAAAAATTGTCATAGGTAGAAATCAGGTTTATGTTTTCACTGGGTGCTGCTGTCACATTGTATGAGCACAGTGCCTAGCATAACTGTGTGTTGAAGATTCATATGGAAAAGTTCACCTACAGAAGCACAAAGGCCAATGTGTTGTTCCCAGTGGAGTAGAGCCTGTGGGTGCACTCAGGGTAAGCCATGGCTCTCCTGCTTCCAGGATGACAACCATCCTGTTAACTCTTTAACATGGTTTGGTTTTACATATGTTTTGTGCTATTTATATTTTTTAAAGCATGCTCTGTTTACTCTTTGTGTCTGGTTTCTCTTATTATATATTACATTTTTAGATCATCCCTATTATCTCATGGAGCTGTAGGAGATGCATTCTCGGGGCGTGTGTGTATCAGGTTCCAGATTCAGAGGTGGGGACTGGGGAAGGGGGATATCCATGGTATAATCATCCATTCTGCTGTAGATGGACATTTGGACAGTTGTTTCCAATTTAAAGCTACTACAGTACTGTTCTGAACATTCTGGTCATGTCCTTTGGTGAACATCTGTACACATTTTGTTAGATATCTTTATCCCCAAAAGAAGAATAGCTGGGTCGTTGGATTTACCTGTATTCATATGATTTCACTGCCAATATTCACAATGGTGGTTATGCCAGTGGATACTCATCAGTGTATGTGTGAGGTTCTACTCCTGTATCTCTGCTGGGCAGGTAGTGGACTACATTTCCCCTGGGTTGATGAAACCGAGCGCTGTCCAGACACTTATGTACGTTTCTGTGCTCTCTGAGTGGTCTGTCTTATGAAGTGCCTGCCAGGCAACTGCCTTCTTAATGTCTATGCTGCTTTATTTTGTTCGTCCCTTGTTGATTATGTGTATTAGAAATATCTCCTCCTCTGTGGCCTGACTTTAATTTTTGAATCAATCTTCAATCAACTGAAGTTTTTCATCTGAATCTAATCCACTTTGTCCTTTTTTTTTTTTTCATGGTCAGCATATGATTTTTAGTTCCTGTTTAAGAAACCATTGCCTATTCCCAGATGATAAAGATGTTTTCTTCTAGGAATACTCATTCTAAAAAGACTTTTTGTCACATTTAATAGCTGCTTCTGTGATATCTGCATTTGAGTTTCCATTTATTGAGAAAAACATAATAACAAGAAGCTTCAGTAAAGCTTTTAAATAATTGGTAACTTATAAATATTACAGCAGTATCTGTAGATATTTGAGAAGTTGCAGGAGACTTTTTAGTTGATGTGGGGACCATGCCGTGTGCTGCCCACACATGTTATACACTTCCCAGAATGGTGAAGTCTTGAGGCTTGATTGTCAAGGACCTGAGAGTTGCTGCCAGTTCTCTCTTAGCCTTGCTAACATCAGAAGCTGTGCCTGTCCATTCATTCCATGTTTACGAATACCTCCACACCAGGTAGTGTGCCACAAAGATTCCAGGAATACCACCCATATGGAGAAACAGGATCTCTCTTCTCTAGAAGAGCGTAGGGTGTAGTTAGAGGGAGTCAGTCATGTAAACAAATATGTCCTGGTGTGCTTCTAGTGACCTGATGGAATTCGGTATCTGAGATGGAGAGAGGTAGGAAGTAGGTGGGCATCAGGAAAGCCATCTTAGAGAAAGTAGCCCTTGATTATCAGCCAGGTAGATGGACGGGTGATTTAAGATTTGTCTCAAATTTGACATTATGCTTCACAGAGCAGTAAAGTGAAACCTGTTCATTCCTACACATTGTTGGTAGGAGAATAAAATGGCACAGCCTCTTTAGAGAGCAATCTGGCAGCATCTGTGAAAATTTAAATCACGAATCCTTCTTGCATTTGTGCTAAACAGACACTGGGAAGACATTGTGTGTCAGACAAATGCCAAGTATAGAATAGCATGACCTAGCTCCTCCAATCCTGTTTGTTTATCCAACACACACAAAACACACACACAACACACACACACACCATTATTATAACATCAAAATATGGGAATAAACTAAATATCCATCAGTGGAAGAACAGTTAAATATATGATGCATACAGGTGATGTAAAGCTAATAAAAGAAGCAGCCGTCTCCACTGTGCTAAGGAGGAGCAGTCCCCAGGATGTATTGAGTGAAAACATCAAGGAGGAGGTCAGTTCCTACTACTTGCTCTCCTTCATGCTTCAGAAAGCAGAGTGGGGCAGGAACCAGATACTCCCTCCCCAGAAGGCTGCACCAGCAGTAGGTCACAGTGGTAGCTCTGCCATGACACTAAGGGACAGGCATGTTCTGATCGAATTTTTTTTTAACATGTAGTTTATTATCTATTCAATGTTTTTTTTTTTAATGTGTAATTTTTTAATTAAAAATTTTACTAATGGTCTCAGGATGTAGCTCAGTATAGAGTGTTTGCCAAGTATGCATAAGGCTCTGGGTTCAATCCCCAGAACTACAAAAAAAAAAAAAAATTCTTGTTTCTTTACTAAGTACTGTGTAATATCCTTGTTTGGATCCTGGGACCGAAACTGGACATTAGTGGAAAAACTGGTGATACCTGAAAAAAGTCTAATGTTGATTTATTCACTTCAACAAATGTCCCAAGACAATATAAGACCCCAGTCTATATTGAAGGGAACAAGATGAGATGTACAGCAACTCTGTGCATCAGTCATCTTTGCAACTTTTCTGTAAATTATTCCCAAGGAAAATGTTTATTAATATTTTTTTTAACTCAAATTGCATCTGCAAAATTGTGTCTGAGAAGGAACCGATTTGGAAAGTTGTAGCTGATTCCCTCTCCTCCCATTTTGGTGTAGGTCGAAGAATTCCATCCACGGACGCCAACCCGCCATCTGGCGGTAAGGGCTTCAAACTCCGCAGACAGCCGTCAGAGCCAAAGCGAAGCTGCTGCTGATGAGCCTCAGCCTCAGACTCGATGGTGAAGCAGGTGGTCCTGACAGTTAGCAGGAGGGCCGGGGGCCTGCTACCAGTGTCCACCTAGCCGCTCGAGTCTTCTTCATGCAAAAAGGACTCACAGAAATTGGCCGGTTCTGTTCTCCCCTTGAAGACTGCAGCAATGGTATTTCAGTCTGTGGACGTCCAGTGTGTCCAGGATCTGTGGTGTCCAAAGGGACCGCATCATTGACTTTGACCTTGCTGAAGGGAGCACGTCATTGTATGGATGGTGGAATTAAATTGCTGAGTAGTTTTGTAATCAGGATTTTATGTAACATTTGTAAAAAGGGAAAATTAGCACTTTCGTGGTTCTTGGCGGGGGAAGGCAAGATTATCATTTCCTTGGTTTCCCGTTACCACGGTTGGAGGGAGTTGTATCATTTAAATGTGGTAGGATATTGCAGGTAGAGGGACGGCAGTTACTGTTGGAAGCTGAAATGGTTCTGTCTAGGACAGATGGAGATACTCCATCTCTGCTGTCTCTGAAGCACTTTCTGTGAAGCATGTTAGCCCCAGATACATACAGAAAGCCAACACCATGGCAGTGGTTGCTGGCCCACCCTGGGTTTGCTTTTGACCCTGTCGCGCATGTATCACTAAACACATCAGTGGCGCCACTGTGGTGGTGATAGAGAAGCACCTGGAATAAATGAACTGCATATGTCCTAAATAGGTTAGCAGCAGTTTAAAAAACAAGGAAGAGGAGAAAGTAATGTAAATGCTGTCAATTTTTTTATTTAATCCAAGTATTTTGGTGGGGAAAACAAGTATCTGTTGCTTAGCATATGTAAAGTTGTAGTCTGTATTTATGAGACCATTGCTTAAAGACTATAAATTATGTAAATACATTAATAAATTCTAAGTTTCATGCAGCACTCCATTTAATCTCGCACCCAGTCTTGTGATGCCCCCCCCACTTTTCAGCCTGTCCACTGGAGACTGAGGCACATTTATGTTGTGCAGAGGCATAGATGTTTAGCTTACAGTCTTTCCAGGTTTCTGTGCTTTCCCTTCCGCCCACCCCTCTTCCCTCTACATCCCATCTGGAAATGATAATAAAGACATATGCCACTTCGATGAGCCTGACTAGTTCTTGCTGGCCTGTGGTAAAAGAGTGTGCTCTGAGCTCAAGTCATTTACCTGGTCTTGGTAATAAGTTTCTCTCGGCTTTCACAGTGACCCCAGACCAACTGGTTTAAGAGCACTTTTCTTGTTAACAATCTAGCTTATCTTTTCGTTTCCTTTATTTTCCCCTGCCTCTGTTAGTGGTTAACACTCTTTTCCCTCAGGGAGCCTAATGAGGTTTTTAATATGATCTAAAAATAAGCACTGAAGTGCAGTTGGTGGAAATGTGCTCCTGGTCTAATTGGGCACCCTCCAACCTGAGTATTGTGCGAGAAGGAAATTTACAGGATTAAATAGGAAATGAAACAGCTTGAATTTCAAACTAAATTGTGTTTTCAGAGCTAGCCTTAAACTGAACAGTCAAAACTTTTGAAAATAATTGTTATTTCTTTGTGCCCCCCACTTGATATGGATAGATTTTAATGGGAAAATTATAACTCGGATTAAGTAAAAAATGACTCCCTTTTCCCTCTTGTATGTCTTAAGCATTTGAAATTGCTTTATTCTTCTTGAAATCATATAGAAAGAATGCAGTTGGTAAAAATTCCAACGCTGTTTTGTGTGAAATACACATGGACTCTTACCTCTCTAGCATTGCCTCCAACTCAGCACTAAATTAGCAAACTTGATACAAGAAGCCACATGACTCCTAGGGCTGGGCCCTTGCGACTGAAGGTGGCTTGATGTTACTTCATATATATCCAGGATGTCCAGCCACTGCCCTGGCCTGTCCCCAGCCTTCCCACTACCGGGCCTCTATCTCTACGACAACAAATAAAAACAAAGGTTGGCTGGCTGATTGCAGAAAAGGCAATGCATGTGAGGCCTTTTTTTGTCTTATTTCACAGAAAGATGATGCAAATCCACCACCTTCACATTTTTTCCACCAAACCTGCCAATAGATGCTGGTGAGCACATGGTGTCTTGGTGCGCGGGTGAGGTCCTTTGAACCTCTTCTGAGTGCCTCTGATCTCACTGTGATGTTCTCCATCTAGCCCAACTCGAGGCCATCTCTCCTGCCCTTTGCAGCTCTCTGCTTCTGTGAGTTTCTAGGGAATGATTCTGCCTGGTCACAGCCACATCTCACTAACGGACAAGCAGTGTGGGGCGTACGCTCAGGCATTTCTGGGGCCTCTTCTCCCTCATTTTCATCAGTCTCTCAAAAAAATTGACAGGGTGCTCTTTCGCTTGTAGTACCTTTGTAATGCCTAACAGCAACAACAGGTTTCTATCACAGATCCATGACCCATGCTCAGTGAAAATGGGGAAAAGGTCTTCATTTTATATTGTTTGCTTCTAAAATGCAAAGGTAAATATTAGAGTCAGGAGCAGTGCTTTACTTTGAACACATTTCAGATTAACCAGACTAAGCAGTGATCCACCACATTCCATATTTCTTTATTTCTTATGAGAAAAATCTCATAAGATTTCAAAGGAATTGAGACATAGCCCATCTGTAAAAAACTATTTGGTTCCCTTATGACGCAGGGCCATTTTTAAAAACTTTGGGACTGAATAGAAGAGAGAAATCATTAATTAGCTGCAAGTGTGTATCGATTCCTTTCAGAGAAGTTGAAATAAGCTCTTTGCAGGTGTCCAATCCTAGAAACCACTGGTCTCCAGATCTCTCCTTTTACATAAGTGTTTTTCTGATTCTGTGATAACTAATTAACTATCATGTGGTGATTAAAAGAACATAAAGTAAGAGTATGATTAAGTAAGTGTCCTTCATTTCCAACTCTCTATAAGAAGTGATTGGGGAGAAGTATCTACTACAAGCCCTTCTGGTTCCAAATGAAACCTCTATCACCTGCTTGTCAGCCACAGTCAGGACAGGCCCTGCTCAGAGCAGCTGAGAGATTTGTTTCTTTTAGATTAACACATGTCCTTGTTCCCTATTTCTGATGTTTGAAGTGCCTGCTCTCATGTTCCTCTTTCCTGGGTGCCCACCCATGTCTGAAAGGATGAAGGCATATCAGAGGCTTGATCTCCTGGGCCAGGATCCTTCTTGGGGTTGTCAGTTCTCTTTACTTTTAAATATACAAAGAGAAAGAAAACTGCATTTAATTCGGAACTTCTCTTCAAGTATTCTATTTCTTGTCTCAAGAAGGAAATAGGCTGAGGAGAATTTCTAAAACCCTGGGAGATAGAGCAATGAAAATGGCCTTTGGACAGTGATCACATGGCTTTCCTGGCATTGTCAAACTGGAGTGTCTGTTTTCCATGGCCTTGTGTTTCAGTAGGCAGGTTAGATTCAGATTATGCCATGCTCTTTGGTACGTGGGTCTCCAAATTTGTACGTGTGTTCAAATTTGTGCTAAGAGTGAATTGCAAAAGAGGTCGTATAAATTCTATTTGGCACTTTTTCATTCATTCTTTCAGAACACACTGAAAATGTGATGCATGGGCTCTTAGAGTCTCATGCACACAATGTATTGCATCTAACAGATGAGCCCACTAAACATACAGATGTCTTTGCAGGAGCCTGTGGAAGTGATGAGAGAGTCCTTCCTTCCTTCCAGAAAAAAGTTGTTGGGAACCCATTAGTGCTCATCATGCCAGGTGCCTGCTTTAGAATGTTTGGAGGAGAGTGACAGACACAGCCCACTAACTCAGGCTGGCCCTCCTTGCTAAACCCAGAAAGTTGCATGGCAGTGACAAGCTAGATGGGAAAATCTTCAGTATTTAAATTTGTTTTAAAGGAATGAACAACACAATTTTTGTTTATTGTTTGATTTCAAAGGAACTGCACCTCTTAATAGTTTTTAAAGGAAGAAATGGAATGTACCTTTGGGGATCACACTGTTAAATATATTTGACGTTAGCTTGGTTCATCAGAAAATTTTAAAACATTTTAAGTTTATCTTTAGGATATCCTGTGGTACTGTGATTTACAGAAAGAAAAAAAAAAAAAAAGTCCAAGCAACAAATGATCTAGGAGATAAGCAGTATACCCTGTAGTTTTAGAAAAGGGTGGTGGGGGTGAAATTTAGCCTGGGGCTTTAAGAAATGACCTCCGCAAATTTCTTTTGACAGCAGAGTTGCTTGTCTTGACTTCCAGTAATAGAAAACCAGGCAATTTGATTATCTGATTTGCAAGAAATGTTAATGGAATTCTGGGGCATTTGTCCTGTTTCATGTGCAAATGAAAGTCTAAAAATGTATTAGAAGAGTCCATTTTTCAGGAGCCTCCATTTCTTCCACCTAAGAGAATAAGTGATAGACCTGTTGTGATGAAGTCTCCTTTGACATCACCAGGAAGGTGAATAAATGGAACCAAGAAGCAGCACATTTCTCAGCTCATCCTTCAAGATTCTCTTAGCTTATAGGAAAATGATTTACTTTCCAAATCTGGAAGGACTTTCAGTAGCATAGATCAAGTTTAATTTGATGGTCTGTACCATCAGAAATAACTAATATCTGTGTTCTTTCCTTTCAGAGCATAATCAATTATAGCTATGCTAGAATATTTTTGGCTTCAAAACAAAAGGATTCAGAAGTTTAATTTCAAAAAGTCTCATGCCTTCCATCAATTCCTTTTGTTATGCTGAACATTTGAGATAGTAAGATTAGGCTATATCTACAGTAGGTGGTGAAGCCAACCATGATGTCTAACGGATTTTTTAAAAATTGTTTAATTCATTTTTGCAAGTTCATTTTTATATCTGTCTGGTGCCTCATCAAAATGCTTCATTATCCCAACAAACAAAATTGTGGTAGCTTTCAGGTGTTCAAGTACCAATTCTGACTGCCAATTGTAATGATTTTTTGAAGGAGTCTGGTTTTTTTTTTTTGGGGGGGGGGGGGGGGTTTGTTTGTTTTTTCTTGATGGGACTGGGGATTGAACCCAGGATGTTTTCCCACTGAGCTGCATCCCCAGCCCTTTTTTTATTTTGAGACAGAGTCTCACTAAGTTGCCTAGGCTGGTCTTGAACTTGGGGTTCTCCCTCCTTAGCCTTCTGAGTCACTGGAATTTACAGGCATGCACCACTGCACCTAGTAGCCCCTAAAAATTTTTGAAGCAGCTTTTGAATTTATTTACTTCCTTTGTATATGAAGTTATTAGGTAGTTCATGAAGCTTATTCTTAACATGGACCATGCAAGTGTCAGAGAGATAAGTCAACTCAGTGAGGGAGAGTCTTGTGCAGCCGGCTAGTGTTGGTGGCTCCATTTTTAAACCATGTGTTGTTCTGTATAGACAGAGCTTTATTGCCCTGGGAAAGGAAAAAAAAAAAATTTCCCTACTCTCATCTGTCTCATCCATCGTTTTGCTTTATTAGTCGCTCACATAATCACCATTTGCCACTCTGACCTTAAGAGTTTGTCTTTCCTTCTCTGTGATCAAAGCAGACTTCTTGCCTTAGTTCCCTTCTCACTTTTTGGTGACCTGTCCCTTGGAGACCCTGCATTGCTCACCTCCCCAGCACATGACGTGCCTTCTCCTGCAGCCGGTCACAGTTGCAGCACCAGGCTGCGCCCACTCCATCCAGCTGGGCGAGTCATGTCTATGCAATCAGATGCCAGAGCTGACTTTAGGTAAGGACCTCCAGGATTTCCAGAAGGGGAGTGGGCAGCCCTAGCTTACAGTGGGAACTCAGCTGATTGGCAGAATGGTTTTTTGTCACTGGTGATCGCCTAAGTGTCAGAATTTCACAAGAGTTTATAATAGAGCATTTGTTAAAGTGTATAAAAGTGCAAGTCAAAGGTCTAGAAGAGAAACAGCTAGAGAGATGAGCCTAGACGTTAAAAAAAAAAAAAAAAAACTAAGCCATTATACCAGCAACTCATTTCTCCTAAAAATGTCATACTTTCTTAAGACCTGATGCAAGGAATAAAATATTTGTGCCTTTTACAATAGCATCTGCTGTGGGGAAAAAATCAAATGCCTATAGTCTGGGCCTTTTTGTAGCACTGTAGAAGCCAGGTTGGGAGCCGTGGCTTCACACTGCATCTTGCACTGCCTGGGTACCTGTACTGGAATGTAAGGAGGATAATTTGCCAAGCTCATGCGGATGTTTGAAGATGTTATTTTTACAATCTTAACCTTGGGCTGGACCTGAGTCTCTGTGACCATATGATGTCTGTACTGTTTGTAGAAGCTGATGAAAGAAAACTAGAATTTTTGCCTTTTGTTGTAAGGTCTTTCTTTTTATACTTATGCTGGTAGTGGACAGTTTGAAAATGCAGGTCAATTTGGCCTACTTTTAACTGTGCTGTTTTGGCCTGAGTACTCTATAATGCGCTTGTGTAGAGTATGACATGCTAATCACTACAGAGTCTGTTGTAAGAAGGGTGTGTACATTTTGTTAATAAAATGCTGTGTTTACAGATGTACGTATCTGCCTTCCGATGGTTTCTCTTCACAGTCCTACATAACATGCATTCTTTTTTTTTTTTTTTTGAGAGAGAGAGAGAGAGAATTTTTATTTATTTTTTTAGTTTTCGGCGGACACAACATCTTTGTTTGTATGTGGTGCTGAGGATCGAACCCGGGCCGCACGCATGCTAGGTGAGCGCGCTACCGCTTGAGCCACATCCCCATTCTTAACTAAGTGTTGTGACGTTGTTTCAGAGGACTTGGGAACTGCTGCCCCAGAACAATGAAGCCTCGATGGCATCTGGTGAGAAGTGGTGCATCTAGATCGGGGGCCTAGGCTCCTCAGCCTCCTGCGTCCCCACCTCCCCAGTTCATCAGTAGCTGAGGTGGAGAGCATCTCTGCCGGCCTGCAGAGCCCCCTGGGCATTTCACAGGAACACCTGTGCCCACAGGAAGGCCCACAGGAGGGCTCTGGATTCCTGAAGGAAAGGCCTTCAGGCATCTCCATCGTTTGGTGGATTTCATTTACAGATGCCAGCATTTCCAGAGTCAGCATTAGCTCTGGACTCACTCAGTGCTCCCATGGAAGCACAGCTTCACACATTCCATTCCCATTTTCTCTCTGCTGTCCCTCTGTGCTGCAGTTGTGCTCAGAGGGAACCACAGAGAGCAGAGAGGGTTTGAGGCTCAGCTTGGCCCCTCTCCAGGCTATGTGGCTCTGAACAAGACCCTAAACCTGAGTGGTGTTTCCTTCATCTTCACCAAGGGAGGATAATCAGAGCTTACCACACAGGCTGTTTGGGTGGGATACCCCTCTGACTGGCATTTAACCCAGCACTACCAAAGAGTAAGCACTCACATACATTTTCACAAGCCATCTCCCTGATAATCCCTTCTGATCAAATAACTTTGATGTTGGTGAGGTAATTTGCAGGTTTGTTTTTCACATTTTAAGATAGGTACAAAAGTGCCATAAATCTTATATACAGTTTGGTGTCACGAAGGACACTCAAAAGGAGCAAGACATCATCCATATGATGAAGCCCTGGCCCGGGCCCACTTTGGTTGCCGTCCTGCTCTTAACGTCACCCACTGGCTTGCTGTCGTGCTTCGGGCCATATGTACACGTGGAATGTGCTCCTGGTTTGGCTTCTTTCATCCCACGTGCTGGGTAGTGGTTGCCTTCACTCTCTCAGATGGGTGTCCTCTGGCATGAACAAGCCACCATTTACACATCCCTCTGTGTGCACAGGCACTGGCTTGGCTCCAGATCTCTGCTGACAGGGACCTACTGCAGTGAGCACCGCACGTGCCTCTGGTGCACGTGTACACGTCTCTTGCACGCGTACCTGACAACACATATATTGTCACCTGCTCTTTTTTGCCTTAGTAGAGAGTTTTCTGAAGGGGTTTATCAACATTCCTCCCAACAGAAGGGTACAAGATTTCCATGGCTCAGAATCCTAGGCAGCACTTGATGTGGTCCCTGCTCGAAAGGCTGGACATCTACACTTCCTGCTAACAGAAGTTACCTCTAAGGGAAGAGACTTGGGTGACAGAACTGTCCCCTTTGTTTCACCTTTTGCTTTTATTTGTACATAAATACTTTAAATTTCTTCTTACTATGAGTATGTGTGTGTGTTTCTTATTTCAAAGGAAATCAGAAACTCCTGAACCCTAATCCTATCTTCAGAGCTTTAGTGAAAATTACCTCAGTGGATACTTTGAAATGGTATTTGTCTTATGTTTGTCCTTTTTAAACACGCGCGCGCGCGCACACACACACTTCATCTTAATCAATAAAAAGCTTACAGCCAGACTTGAAGTCAGTGTATAAAACTTTACAGCACACATTTATTTCCTTCTGGTTCTTGAGATCTTTTCAAGCTGTCCTAAATCCTCTTGGAAGAAAGTGGGGGAAGTATATGTTAAGGGGGGACTATAAATAATGGACCCAGATTCCTAAAGAACCTCAAGGTTTATTGCGGGTCTTTTTTCACTAGAGTTTAAGAAACAGATTTCCATTGAGACAGTAACTTGAGCATTGCAGAGCCTTTTAAGTTTTTCATTTATTTGTCTTCTAGTAATACCAGCCAAAACATGATTCTCCACTGAAAACAGTGGTGTTGGTTGGGAAGGCAAATGTCATCAGCATCTGGAATTTAGTCACCAGCATGTCAAGTTGTCACTTTTCCTTGTAGCACTGGGGAAGCCTATAAAACAGGAAGAAGGGAAAAATAAAAAAGCTTTATAGGTGACACCTGATCAAAATGAATCACTTTATCAATCACAATTTTAATCAGACCTCTAGTCACTCAGGTTTTTTATTTTCATTACAACTTTTCAGCATCTCCCAGAAAACATCAAAAGCACCAGACATCATCTTTCAAGAGCTGTGTGGGAAGCTGCTATGGGCTCAGGCACCACTGTTACTGGGGTGGAAAATAACAAGGGGGTTCACATTTCCCTTTATTAGTATTCAGTGTAGAATGGAGATTCAGGCCTCTGTTAATAAAATATATGTAAAATAAGGTGGGAAAGCTACCAGGGTTCCATTCCATTAGAAAAGGGCATTTTTAAGAAGAAAATTGTGGAGTTGTGAATGGTAATTTGAGGTTAATGCACAATGTTAGGGCACCGAGTCTGCACCAGTGGTATACTATCATCAACATTAAAATTGCATCAGCTGCACAAATGATGGGGTCAGGTCATGTCTTGTTTGCATATAAATGAGGACACATCATAGTGTAGAAATAAAAGCAGCAGACACCACAGCAGAGCGATGTGGATGCTGTGGCTGTGCTTTGCCAATAGGGTGGGCTGCTGCCTGCATCAGCCTTCACCATCCAGACTATCAAATCATAAAATAACCCACCCAGAATGTTCTGCTTGTAATTATTTCTCTATGTCCTATATCCAGTATGATAACCCTGTTAGAAAATTAGGATCCCTGTGTGTGGATTTTCTTTCCTGCTCTAACATTCCTTCTGAATGGAATAGGAGATAGAAGAGTTGGTGGCCAAGAGGCAATTTTTTTTAAGTGGCAATGACCTTGGGGCTGGCTGAAAGGATGGCAAATTTTGAAGCCATTTATGGTACATATCTGAAGCCATTATTGAATATATCAAATTCTCCCCTGAAACAGCCACCTTGAGAAGAAGAACAACCAATTATACCAACAAGAAGGACTCTTTCAGCATTAGCTGTTTGAAATAATATGCAAGTTTAGTGATCCCCAAATCTTGAAGAGAGCATTTCAAGAAGTAGAATAAACCCATGTGTGCTCAGGGTGGCCTCTGAAATGATGACTCAAGGTCATTTTTTAGAAGGGTTCCCAAGCCAGCTAGAAGACATTCCTGAGTGTCCTTGGGTCAGTAAATGTACCTGACCTTTGTCTTCCTCCTCATGAGTCAATCTGTGGTTTTCTTTGATTAATGATAATAGAGACTTTATTGGGCTACTGTGAATAATGGCAATCAGTCTAACTATGCAAATATCATTCATTGCACCAATAATACTAAATCCCATTACTAGCCCTGGCATAGAACCACATATAACAAAACTAGGTACATTCAAAACCTACTTTTTTCACCATAGGCCCATTAGGAACTTCATTACTTTCATATAAAAGCCTAAACAATATAGAAGCTTCTCTTCAGTTTTCATAATGCTGTAGTTTAAAAGCAAACACATGCACATATGCATGTGTGTACACATTCAAACACAAATGAAGGAAAGACCAATGGTTTAAATTGCAAACTAAATTGTGAAAAAGACAAAAAAGATTCCATTTAATGCCCACTGCAGAACAACAGGATTAAAGAGAGGAGTTTTGTCAGGAGACCTTGGGCTCCAGGCACGGAGTAGAGAAGCTGGAAAAAGGACAAGGACAGCTGGAGAGGCGGAGTACCAGTGAAGGACTCTGCAGATGCACCATAGCTAGCTGCCACCTCTCCCAGTACCAGCTTTCCTGAGCTGATCATCAGTTATTATCTGTATTGTCAAACATTAAAGCATTCCTGCCACTGCAAAGTCCAATGTCTCAGACTCAGAGGGATAAATAAAGGGAAAAGCAGGACAGGGTTTTGTGCCTGCAAACACACTGTGCATCATCATGGCACAAAGAGATCAGGGCTTCAGGAGGGGATTTAACTACTGAAAAATAAACAAAGGGGAGACAGTTCTTTTGTGACCCCTTTTCCCACCGGAGGAGATAACAGAAGGTATTTACTATGTGTTCCTGCTCCCAGTTGCTACAAATTAAGAATCATCTGCTTTTATTTAATAACATTTGAAGATCGGGGGCGAGGGGTGTCTTCACAGAGTCACACAATGAGGCTGGAGAGCCTGTTCTCAGAGCCTCGGTTCCTGGGTGTTGTTGATCTGTCTGGGACTCGGAAGATGTACCAAGTCGAGCTACATGAGGGGACCCTATGCTTCATAAAGCACCACACAACATACCCACCCTGCAGCAGCTCCCTCTCACACACATGCCAGTCTCCCAGATGCTGGCATGAGGGGTTTGGGGACTCCACCTGTGTGCAGCCTTCGTGATGCAGCTGATGTACCATCATCCACTGAATCCCTCTCCAGACCCCAGAGTTAGGAAGCTTTGTCCTCCCCCTCTGCAAAGACGAGGAAACTAAGGCTCAGACAGCAAGAGAGAAAAGCAGCTCCTGCAGCCAGCACTTCGCAGCAGCCCTGCTGGCTTGATGTGGAGCATGCTAGGCACCTCAGGCACTCATCTCACAGGCCACCTGACCAGGATGGTCAAGACGAAAGCAAGGCCCCTTAGTAATTACCCCCAAGTCCAGGCAAAATGTGTAAAGCCTCATATTGACTAGACCACTGATCAGCCTGATGGCAGCCACTTCACCAGTGACGGCTGCATGCTCCTCCTGAATGCCCTCTCTGTGGATCCAAAATGGCTCTGCCCCATGTCCTCACAGCACTTAAGCCAGAGCGAAGCTCTTCCAAATCACCTACCACAGCCCCACTCCACCTCCAGGTCAGTTCC